CACACACACACACACACACACACACACACACACACACACACACACACACACACACAAGTTGAAATTCTACAGAGTACCCACGCCCTTAGATGAGACGGGTTGAAAAGGAGGAGGTGTTATCAGTACAAATGATCTATTTGGGAATGTTAAAATCATTTATGATTTTTTTGTTGTTGCTTATTTTGCTTCGTAGAAACGAGAGTAGCCATCAGTGACCTTACACATGGGGAGATAGGACAGCCACAGGTACATAACACTGCATACATAAATAGACCAAATTAAATATGGGTAGACTGAATACTGAAAAATACTCTATAACATAAATTATCTAGAATGAACTATTAGAGAGAGATATTAACTGTGTACAGGTTTAGAGAAGCTGTATAATCACTGGATTCTGTATTGAGTTCAACATTGAAGAAAACTACGTCGACAGTTGACAGACTCCTGAAACAATGCAAACCAAAATAATTTAAAAAGCAGTACTCTTTCGTGAGGCACAGTTTTCAAATGGAATCAATCATACAGTGGTTTTCTTGTAGGACATAGCAATACATACAAACTCTATATCGATGACCAGTATCCCTTTAAAAGTATGTGGCACTTCAGAGTCTCCTCTGATCACAGACGTGACCCATGTAAGCACAGGTCAGTGCTGCAAAGTCTTCAGAGGGAAGGAAGTGATATCACGAGGAGAAAAAAGGCAAAACGTCGTCTGAGAAAGGTCCATCCATTGCTTAAAAAAAAAAAAAGACACCCACGTCCTCTTCAGTCCTGCCTGCTGTTTTAGCAGTTAAATATATATTAGATTGAGAGGTTTCGCATGTTATGATTGAAACACAACCACAGTAGACGCGTATCCAGTGAAGTAATTGTACACAATGATCTGACGATAAGACTACACCTGCACTGCAAGCCTGCTAGAAATGCAAAACCACATAGCTCCTATTTTGCTTTTAGACAAATCATGGGCTTAGTTATTACAGTAGCAGCAACAATTCTGTATATTCTTTTTTTTCTCTCTTTAAATGTGGTCTATGTACACACAGATATACAGTGGGAGGAAATTTCAGTTCAGTCCTTCTTTTTGTTCTGTTTCGGTCCATGGGGAATGCTTTCCACAGAAAAGAAGAGCTTACGGTTCAAAGGTCAAAAAGTGCGTGCTGTGAAGTATCTCTAATATATTCCTTCATCTTGTACATCTGGTGCCCCCACTTCTCTCATCTTCTTGGCTTGTCACATCTAAACAAGAAGAAAGAGAAATGATCATAAGCGCAATAAATGTTTATAGGGAACAGCAAAATCAGCCTATTTTTAATTCTTTTGTCTTGCTCACACAAATGCAGGCAAGGTGGCATTTATTTGGAGATAACTTATCTCATAAACTCCCCTTCCAGTTCTCTATCTATGCCCCACTGCACTATAAGCTGTTCCGATTCATTCACCTCTCAGTACTATCTGGGGATCTGTCTGGCCCAGTAGGCCTACCCCAAACCCCATATGCTGTCACATCTACATAAGGGTGTGGTCCCAGCTAGTGAATTAATAATTAAGTCACTTTGCCGCTTGGTCCTGGGCAAGCAGGGATGCAGCTTTTTGAAATAATCATAGTTGAAAACAATGAAAAGGGCATTGAAACAAATTTCTGCAGACTGCAGACTTTGCCAGTTCAACATATATTTATCCAGAAACTGCAGTTCCTCAAATGACCCAAAATTCCTCACTTGAACCTTCAAATTGGTAGTACGCAAACCGGTTACTGGCATCTCAGTTGCTATAAATGCAGTCTATGATTTTATGTACTGTTTTTGCATTTAAAAGACTGTAAGACTACAAGAAACAGCATACAATTTTGTATGCAAACCATGTTCCAGTGCTAGTACATTAGATTACAGTAGTTTATAGTTGTACTAGAAGCTATAGTAGTCACGCGACTGAATATGAAGAGAACCTGCAAAAGCCTCCATAGTGGAGTCTAACAGGGATGTTGTGACTAGAGCCTATTTGCTACCGATGTCATCTGACCGAACTATATTTGGATCTTAAGTTGGTTGCATTACTATAAATTCCACACAGGTTTTCCGTTTAGTCCAACAAATGGGTGAACCACTTTGCCGATGTTACTTACTTGCAGGTCCTCTCGTTGAGCTCTAGCTGGCGTTCTTTACAGTATTCATCTGTGTGTTTGCAGGAGCACCGGCAGGTTGCAGGGTCCTGTACAAACAAACGCTTTCTCCTCTCTGAGCACTGATCACAACACGGCTCACAAACACTGGACAGACAACACAAGGAGATGGGGAGGAAGAAGGAAAGGCAGATTATCACAGTGCACCGTTATCACCCATAAGAAAGGTCACCCTTGGGTCAACCCTTTCATATACTCCAGTTTGCTCCTCCGAGCCACTGCCAATTTGTGCTGCATGTGACAGTTGTATAGTATTGCTCACAGGATCCCTCAGAGCAGGCAGAAAGTCAAGCAGTAGAAATAAACCTGCTCCCTACCCCCATCCTTGCCTAGCTGATTCGACCTCTCCTGAATGAACGATATGTGTTAGACATGCAGTTAGCGAAGCTCGAGACCAGTTCATGCATCACAAAGCAACATATGGCTTTAAAGTGCGGGTCAGTGACAGCGCACTTCTCACTCTCACTCTAAACTCGTGATAAAGAAGACTCGAGGGTCTGTTTGATGCACTGTTAGGAAAGATTTCATTTTATTGAAGGAAAGCCGAGGACTAGGTTTCCCACAGAGAGACATGAAATCAAAACAAAGGCTGAAAGTCATCTGAATTACAATTCTCAGCAGGTGTGAAGCCCCAGATACTTCATTGACATCTTAATATACAAATTACAAGTGAAAATACAGACAGGAATCTCTTCACAGTATGAACACTGAAGAAACATGATCTCGTTATATTACTTTTGAATAAAATATTAGTTTTTTATGGTTTCAGACACAAAAGCAGGCAAACAAAGAAATAAAATAAAAAAAACAGTCCTTGCTAAACAATTTGCTGAAAAAAAAGCAATAGATAGCATCACTCATATCTTCACATAACATGAAAAGTACCAGCATTAAGCACAGGACAGCAAAAAAACCAAACAAAAAACTGTTTGTAAAGATGAAAAGAACAAAGTGGGGAAAGGAGACGGGTACGAGACACAGCAAAGCAGCACAGACTCAACACTGAAGACGGGACTATGATTACAACCCTGGTGATCCCAGCACAGATACCAGAACAGTATGAGCCGGTTGGCAAAGCCATGCTGGTGGATCTGAGATCAGTTTCACTAGACAGGAGGTTCATGTTACAGCTAGCAGCTGATCTAAGATCTGTTTATTTGAACTCCTTTAAACGTGGACATTATCAATAATAAAAAGAGCTATCTGACAAGAAGCCACAGCCAATTTGAACCCTAGGTTTTTGTTGGTTTTATGATACAATGCTGTATCTCGTCTCGAACATCAGTCAACCATTGCCTCGGTTATATTACTAGGAGATTAGTTGGAGATTTTGAGGTTAATGTTTATTCCTTGCAAGTTGGTATGTGGTCTGAAGTACCCCCTAGTTATCACTCAAAATTTAACTGAAGCTACCTTCGCAAAACACATCGGCAAACAGGGCATAGTCTAATATCCTGAACATAGATTGTAGATAAAAGGTGGACACAGCCAATATGAATTACCCATTCGTTAGCAAAGACTTCTTTTTTGCCATTGCGGTGTGTTCAAACGAGCGAGGAACGGATCTGACTAAGAAGCTGGATAGCTAAAAATTCCCCTGCTGGCCAGAAGAAAGAATACAGGTTTGAAAAACTTCCACAGTGAAAGTTCCTGAAACCTAAAAACTGTGTATGTCTTTTATATACAGTCTAAGATTCTGAATATTTAGGACATGGCTGACAAGACAAAGTTAGGACACCACACGGAAGCAACATGCTAATCGATAGGGCCGATAAGCAAATTAAATGGTACAAATTAAAAGGGGCAAAATAACTCCTCCCAGATTAGCTTAATTATAAGAAGCGCAACACTCAGGTGCAGGTAGGTGGAGAAGGCAGAGCTGACATACGCATCATGAATTGTATTTTCAGGGTTTTTCTTTCGTTTTCTCTTTTGGCCTTTATTCTTGCCTGTCCGGGATTTTCTGCAAGAGAGACAGGAGAACAAGGCAGAGAGATGCCTGAGAGACTGATGAGAGTGACGTGCTTAAATCTCTGAATGATAATTGCTTAAGCCAACATGAATTGATCCCAATGTTTTTGGTTTTTAAAAAAATATGTATATCATTTTATTAGCTAAGAGTTTTAATTTTTGTTACTGATTGGCTTATATGGGATTCTAACTCCACACAAGGCTCTCTGGACCCAATTAATACGATGAGATATGATGTGAAATGAATGAGCGTAGTGAGAAAGTAACTCCATCATGAGTTAAATGACCTACAAATAACGCTTTTAGAAAGCAAGACAACAACTTATATCCTCTTTCTCAAAAAACAGCCAGAGTAAAGCAGCTCACTGTGTGAATATGATTAATATCGCATATTCCGAGACTAAGTTCCTTCACTGCCCAAAACTGGGCTCAAAAGATATGTATATATGTTTAAATAATAAGTACAATGACTCTGCAGAGAGTGAAAGCATATTGTTCTTTGTAGGTTATGGTGGGTGGAAGTTTCCCAGATGATCTGAATACAAAAAAAATTGGACTTTACCAAAACCGCATCTTTTAGTCTATTTGGGGCAACTCTTTATCACTGACTCGACTCGTTACAAACTGCAGCACAATGAGAACAGGCCAGTGTGTGCTTACAAAGCATGCACCTGGTGTATAGGCTGGATTTCATATGCATTATTTATAACGAGCGGAGTCAGATATAATTCCGCTGCACAAGGTATATTTGCTGGAAACTTTTGTTAGTTAGACGTAACAGCAAAAACATGATTACAAGTATCTATTGATATTTATGGCTAGCATATATACAGTACATTAATTCTACTTTCTAAGTAAGAAAAAATATAAAATATTATAAATATTAGGAGGAATAAGAAATAAATAGAAGCGTTGCAATTGTATCATGCACAGAAGACGTGATACAACTGCAGTGTCAGACTCACAGTGATGTGAAAAAGAAAGTTTTAACAGGACTCTATGTAGTCCTGGTAAAAACTAAGTGCACCCCATGATACAAGAGCTTGTCGAACAATTTTTAGCAGCAATATCTTAAAGCAGTTATTTTCTGTAAGACTTTCAGTCTCTCACATCGTTCTGGAGAAATTTTGGTCCACTTTTCTTCACAGCGATTCTCCAGTTCATCCATGTTTGCGGGAATTCATTTATGCACAGCTCCAATGCCCCTCCACAGGATTTCGATCAGGTTGAGGTCTGACTAGGCCATTGCAGCACCTTTCCTTTTAAAGCCATTCTGTTGGAGATTTGACTTGTTGTATGACCCAGTTAGGACCAAGCGTTGGTTGTCGGACAGATGGCCTCACACGGTCTCTAGAATACTTTGGTATATAGAGGTGTTCATGGCCGACTCAATGACTGCAAGGTGCCCAGGTCCTTTGGCTAGAAAACAAACCCAAATTATCATCCCTCTACCACTGTGGCTGATAGTCGATATAAGATGTTTTTGCCGATATGTTGTGCTTGTTTTCCCCAAATGTGGTGCTGTGCATTATGGCCAAACGTCTCCACTTTGGTCTCATCTGTCCAAAGGACATCGTTCCAGAAGTCTTGTGGTTTGTTCAGATGCAACTTTGCAGACCTAAGCCGTGCTGCCATTGTCTTTTTAGAGTGAAGATACTTTTTCCTGGAAGCCTTCCAAACAAGCCATACATTTAACATGCTAACTGAGGCCTGTAGAGTCTGTAGTTTCTCTGAGCATTGCAGGGTCAGACCTTGGGTTGAGCTGACTCGGACGTCCACTCCTGGGAAGATTGTGGCATTGTGTTAACACACAGCTGAATGTTCCAGACCAGAAAACTGCCAAAACTTTACTTTTAAAGAAATATTAATTAATCGATTATCAATTAATTGATAATCAGCAAATGTACTCGATTAAATTATTATCAGTTAACCAAGTACATTTCATTATCAGCGCTTGGCTGCTATTTACTCTTTTAATCATTGTGGAAGCAAAAAGGGTGTACTTAGTTTTTCACAGGACCCTATAAAGTCCCGTGAAAACTTCATTTTTCACAGAGCTGTATAGTCCTGTGACCTCAGGTCATATCAAAGCACATAACCTGATGTTACTCCATTATTCAGTCACATAGGTGCTTTTTTTAAACTTATGTTCAGTGGGTGACCTTAAAAATAAAGTTGCCCTCTTTTTAGTATGACAGATGTTTTTCTTGAAGGTTTTGCTGCTGTTGGTAGTGCAGTCTGTCAAAGAATTTTCGATTTTTAGACTATTATTAGAATTGGATTCTCATTTGACTGAATCTTTCCTTATTTTACACGTCTCTTTCCACATGTGTCCACTCTGCACTTGACACCTAGCTACCTTATTGATGGGCAAACCAAATTTCATTTTATGAAAATGACTGGGAAGGAAGGCTGCAGCCATGCTAGCAGCACATTTAGGTTTAACTTTAGCACAGCAGTGCTTTGAGCTAAATGCAACATCAGCATGGTAACTTGCTCACAATGACAATGCTAACATGTTGATGTGTAGCTAGGTAAAAGGCTATTTAGCCTTGGTTTAGTGTATTAGCATGATAACATTTGCCAATTAGCACTATGCCCAGCCGCGGCTGGTGGTGGTATGTTGTTAGTTTTGCAAATACGTATTCATAATCCAAAGCGGGTGATATTGATGGCGCTTTATGAATGATTGGAAGGGATCAAATTATTTTCTGCAGACCATCACCACTCAATGGATGTGTGCAACATTCAAGACTGTCCACCCACTAGTTGTTTTTTCCCCACCTAAACATGAATGTAATAGAGAACAAGTTGGGGGGGTAACCAAAGTCATGATTAATATTGAAACGATCACTGTTTTCTTGTACAAAATGCGCTAATAATTGTAGAGAATTTTTAGTTCAGGGAAAACTGCAGATGGACTGGCAAACTGAAAAGAATCTGTCATTGCTATCACTGTGAGCATGGCTAAAAATAACATTTTGATTCAGGGATGTATCTGGATCACAGACTGCAGAAGTCATAAATGGGGCTAACTAAGCCCCATTTAGGACTGATTGATAAATACAGCATCTAGGTCTGTGTAACAGAATGAAGCAGACGTGTTTCAAATGTAAAATCCACACAATTTCCGCAGAGACGTTGATAATTAACTAATTTCACAACCTCAACATAATGAGTCATCCTAACAGACTTTGAGACTCTTGCCTTAGAGAGGTTAGCCAACATGAATCAAAATATCAGAAACAAGAACATGAACTGTTACCCTAAAGTGACACCCCACCAAAGCCACACTCGCAAAAACAGTTAAAGCAAAGTTCAAGAAGATCACGCAGCTACCCCTTATCTATATGACAGACGACCTGACATAAAACCAAAACAACAACCCCACAATGGAAAAATATCAACGGCTACTCACAGAAAGAGGATTAAAGAGTTTAATGACCCTTAGCACACTGACTTCTGTAGTATTCAAAGGGAGGCCCTCTTAAGATAGGACTATAAACACAAAAGTTTAACAGATCTTCAAAAACACTGTTATCTATATCAGAGGAGTCAGAAACCAAAGTTGCAGAAGTCAAGTGGCATCTACACAGCAGAGACGAGGGAGAGGAATGCAGATGAGATAGAAAAGGTGGGAAAGGTGTAAAGGACAGGTTTGCAAGTGCAATGAACTCATCAAGTGTCACTCATTGACCTGAGCGGGATTAGCTGGTATTCCCAATGTTTATCATCTGACAGCAGCATGTTAATTTGTGCTCACTATAGGACGATCTCATGTTGCTTGTTCACTGAGGTTTTGATGACATGTTATTGCTTTTGGCTTTTCTATCTGTGTTTTTGTCTTTCTTTTTTTATATTAAAGAAAGAAAAAAGGAGGAAGTGGGAGTGGGAAAATAACAGGCACATCATTTATGTTCAAAAGGGACTATAGTATAATTTGGGAAGGCTGAGAGTTGCAGACAAATGATTGTTTGTTGGCAAGGCAAAACCGGAAAAAGATCAAATCTCAAGTCCCTATTGTTTTCCACCCAAATCACAATCTCCATGCAGAAAGAGCGCTGTACTCACTTTTCTTTCTTTTCTGTCACTTCATTCTTTAACCTGAAAGGCAGAAACAAAACAACATGACATTAGATCACAGCATGCAACTGTATCCCGGTAAACAGATACTTATCAAGATCATCAGGGACTGGGGGCTTATTATCATCATGGGTGGAATCACATGAATCTTTTCACATCACATTGCGTCACCGTCCTTTACCAGAACCTATGATAAATCTAGTTTCTTTTCAAGTATCTGGCATCTGCAACTGGCAAGTGAAATCAATTTATTGGGAAATTTTGCAGTTCTTGGATTATATTCATTAATGGATCCACACAAAACACATACACACAACTACAAACACATTTTGACAGGTTTGCTTCACTTCCCAGCCAATAACAGTGTGGAGTTGCTGGCATATCTGGAGGCAATAGTTATTCCAGAGTCTTAGGAAACGATGTTTCCTGCAAGGTAATAGACCACTTGCCAAGTTTCTGCTTTACATAGTAGTACAGCAAGTCTGCACAGGATGGATAACGCATGACAGTATATGTGTTTACATATACTGTACATTAGGATACAAATTCTTTACTTCAAGTAGCAACACAGTAAAACTACCCAATTACAAGCTAAACGTCTAGTTTTAATTTAAAAGTTGAGTAGTTACAAGAACAAAACTGTACTAAAGCCAACCCTATACTGGAGGATAGACCCTTTAAATACTTACACTGGGTTATAGCTAGAGTTCATACTGCCATATAGCTAAAGTGTTTTAAGCACCAGTCACAAAAACACAAAGTATAGGACTGAGCAGCTTTTTTCCAGAGGGGTCTGCCTCTCAAAACCAGGGGCATGCTGATCAGGTTTTTAGAGTAGGTATGTCTGTACCTGTAGGTTATGAATATGCTGGCAAAGCTTTCTCATTTACATATGTCTGAATTCTACTGGTCAATCACATCAAATGCAGTCAGTCCAAGTGGTGAGCATTTGCTAAAATGTAGCGTCAGCACCATCAGCGATTGTTCAGTGACAATGTAGCTTTTGATGTGCAGTCATAAACAATGACCCACTGATGTAAAAAGAGATCTAGGTGCAGATGATTCCCAGAAGGGTTGTAAACTTAAGAAAACCAAAAGCTATCAACCAACCCTTTAATGTACAATGTTTTATATATATATATATTAAAGCAGTTTCCCAGCGACTTAATAGCTATAAAGCAGTTCCTGTAATAGTTAAGTCATAATTTTAAAATAGAACTAAATGGATTCATAGCACCATCTAAATTTTTATTAAGGTGTCTTAAAGGTTTATAGCTTCAAGTAAATGGTGAACTAGGACGTCACTGCTGCAGACATGCAGAACTAATTCCCTGTGGATATTTTGCCCAAATTCGGAAGTTTGATGGACAAGTGGCTTCAACGTGAGATACAGTTAAAAAAAAAAGAAGAAGAGCTATTCAACTCGGCCTTTTGCCAATACTCATACTTGCAATGTTTGCTTTATTGTTAGGGTTTCCTGAAACGTGGGAGGATTAGTAAACCTTGACGCTCTGTCAAGGTTTACTAATTCATGACACAGAGCTCAAATCTGCCATCATAATGTCACGAGTATGGAAAACTACACATGTCCAACAAGAAACAGCAAAAAAGGTGACAAGAAAAAGTGATTATATAGTGTTTGTTGATGCTAGGCCACAAGAGGGACATCATTTGATGTTGATAATGTTACTTGTTTCACCTATTTCTGCCAGTCAAAGCAAAACAGCAAACTGACTGGATCCGTGGTAATTTCAGTCACAGTTAACCTTGTCTCTGGGCAGTCTGTGAGAGGGTCCAGAGACAACTTGTGAACCATCAAACCTAAGACAAGGCCACATCTAAATATAACACTGAATAAAAGCCTCTGAACAGAAGCCATATATACCTAGTTTCCACTGATGCAGAGCCTTTGCATACATGGCAGAAGCTGGGGTAATTTGCACAGGGAAGGGTCTGAGATGGACAGAATCTGCAGTGCACATCGTTCGAACAATAATACAGTGCTGTTTGTGCAGCACCATATTGCCCCAGTAAAATGCAAAATGCCACTTTATAACACTTATCTCACAGACCTATATCTAAACTATGGACCGAGGAGCGACCTCCATATGTCGCAATTGCAAACAATGCTTTAGAGGGCATTGTACTCGATGGAACCAAGATGAATGTAAGCAGCATTGTGAATGTCTGCTGTGATGTGTTCAAACCTGCTCGGGTCTTTTTAGAATCAGCGAAGTGAAAGAAGCAAAGATAAGATATGGATTTAGGTGATACACATCTGGTGAATGTGTCAGATGAAAACTTCAAACAATAACTTCACATGGCGTGCTTGGCCAACTTCCACTCTGCTCCACAAAGGCACGTTGATTTGCCTGCAGTGATGTTTGGCTGTGCTTTGTGTGGATGTGAGTATGTGTGTGTGTGTGTGTGTGTGTGTGTGTGTGTGTGTGTGTGTGTGTGTGTGTGT